TTGAATCATGGAATGCAGTTCCAAGGCGGAATTACCATAGAGACCTTCAAATAGTGTCAGTGATCTACAATCAGCAAAGGGGTCATAGTCTTTTATAAGAAAGTGGCACTTTGTTAAACCCTAGAGGCATCCGATTTCCATAAACAAGCTTTCTATAGACAAGCAGATTAAGTCATCATAAATCTCGAAAAATTTTCCTATTTTTTTTATTCTTCACTTGCATTTCCCCTTCTATTCCTCCTTTAAAATCTATGCTCTCTCATAGCTGTAAAGATGCTGGATGCAACTACCTCAGCTAGAGTGAGTTTGACATAAATTTGTGTGATTAAGGACACAAATCTATAGGCGCTAGTCGGATACATTCTGAATATGATAATCAGGAATGCACACTAGCAAAGGAGGGGTTACAAAACCCTTGTAAGTCTTGCAGGATTGTTAAAAGGTCAAATGCTGAATGTCCCTCACAATCTCGACGGCAGTGTGGACAAAAGAGGGCCTTCAGACCTAGCAGCCGGATTAAAATACACTGCATTTTCTTAAGCAAGCCGATTTTTGCTAAAAAGCTAGGATCCATAAGGCAAGTTGAGTAGTGGTGGAAAAGGGAAATCGTTAAATTTTAACGCCATAACAGGTATTACTAACGCCAAGGTGTAGTTTGCCAAAACCTGACTTCTCCCATCCATCCGCGTATTTGTTACGAAGAGTAGTTTTGCTGCAACCTATGCTAGGATCAGTGACAGTTTGGAGCGTAGACCTTTGGACTTGAGCCGATGTCTCTGGGAGGGTAAGTAAGGAGATGAGTAAATAAATCGGATGTGACGATGATGGACGTTGAAGGGTTGGAAGTCTTCTTTACCTCATTGTTGAACATTACACCCAGTGGCCACATTGGTTTAAGATGGTCAAGCTCGGCTTTGAGAGAAAAAAGACGATGACTAATGTAGATGAAGTGAAGAAGATCGTTAAAGTTGTGGACTGTCTGCGAATCTTTTCCTGACTGTGGCAAGTAGACAGGCGGAAAAATAATTGGCATTTCGAATCAGTATTGACTGAGACAGAATTATAGGCTACCCACACGCACTATTTCTCTTCTCTGCCGGTCGACATAGATCTGCCTAGCCATTTTGGGTGATAGACATTTGAATAAGTTAAGGAGCTAGAGGTCTTGACGAGATATAAGTTGAAATTAACAGATCATTCAAAATTCAGAGTAAAGGCACGCCCGATTTTGCAAGAAAAATGTCTACTGCACATT